CCTTTTTGTATATGAGTACCAAACTTTCATATTAAAACATGTGATCCTTATAAGAAGTCATTGACCTTTATTAATGAAACAGAGAGGTTTCTTCAAAATTAACAGTGATACTAGGGTTAAAGGATTGCTTTGAAATTAATTTTCCTTATTTCATTGAATATCTTTCTTCACTTAATTATTGTTATGTTCTCACACATGCTCATTACTGGTATTTTGAATTGATTTTAATGACTTCTTTTGACTGTGAAAGTAGTCAAGGTTTTTGAAAAAATCAAAATAGAGATGTGAAAAAACTCAATAACCGTAAGTCTTTGTAATATTTGACCATTGATGATGTCAGGTTGGTATTGTGGTCCTTTCTCCCAATACTTCTTTTCTACTTTAATCAATGATTTCTAAGATAAACTGAAGCAAAATGCCTGGAAACAGGTATTAGACTGTTCTGGGCTCACTCCTGGCTCAAAAAACCCAGCTTGTGAATTCCAAATACTGTGCTGTGTGTTGGGGAATTAAGATTGGAGCTTTGAGCTGGGCTCTGAGTTTGTGGAGAGGTATCTATGTTCTCACAAACTTTTCCCATGGAACTTCAGACATACAAATTTGGGGAACTGTAAAAGTTCAGAAAATTATAGGCTAGAATCTGGCTCTTTAAATTCTGTCTGCCTGCTGCTTGAGTCACCTGCTTGAGTAGATTTGTTGTGTTTCTGTCTTGGTAAACAGAAACAGGAAAAGTCTCATTTGTTTATGTAAAGGTAAAATTACTTTTGGTGGCTTCTTAAATGTTTAAAGTAGAAACAAACCCACATGGAGTAGAATGTTAGGCTTCTTCAAATTCCTGATTATAAATATGCACAACATATATATCAACAGAATATACTGAATGTACTTTAAATAGCTATTTCTACATTTAGTTATTTTATACTTGGCTACTTATACATTTAGCTATTCAGAACAGGTCGTAGTCTTAGAATGGACTTTTAGTTTAAATTTTGCACTGCTTTTGAGGCTAAGGTCTCTAGTTTGAATGACACCATGAATTGGGAAATATGGTGTGAGGTACTGTGTAACTGCTTAGTTTATGTGCACTTATGATGCATTGGCATATATTATGTTCAGGAAGAGGTTTGGCAGTAGGAAGGAAAGCTGTTCTGCCTGCTTCAGTCTGCAGAAGGTGGAGCTTTCTGGAGGAGAGGGAGGTGATATTTTCCCTGGGAGCTGCTGAATACATGTGGGGGAAGATTCTCCTAAGTTACAGGATGAAACATATGGAGAGAGTGAGAAAGGATTGTGACACAGCAGTAGGGTGCAATGGGTAGTCTTCTTTATGATCCCTTTTAATTTCTACTCTGAATTTCTTCTTAAATTAGTTCGGCTAATTTATATTATAATAAAATCTAACTTTAGAGACTTTGAAAGATTTGGAATCTTCACCTTAAGAATAGGTCCAGACAAATCTTCCTTGAAGTTTTTTGAACCTTTCTCCAACCTATGAAATTTATTCTGTGAAGAAACTTCTGCAGTCCTCAGATGGGAAGGAGTGTTTGTTTGTTCCATGTCAGTTCTTTCATTTGCACCTGAGTTGATTTGTGCTGTTGAATCACCCAACTGCACTTAGGCCCTGCTGTCTCTTCATTCAAGTCATGCACACCTTAGTTACCTCCCCTGAGCTGGAATTGTCTCTGAGTATTTCTGCTTTACAACACCCAGGCCAAGGCAGGGATTTAATGGTTTGTCCTGTGGAAATGGTGTCATTTAGAGATCCTTTGGTAACTCTGAAGAATCCCAAGGCAAGTTCTTGTGTTGGCTCTCAAAGCTGCTCTCGAAGCTGTGTTGTTCAAGGCTTTTGAGTGTTACAGACGGAATAATGTGTGGGACTTCCTACTGCACTTTGCTGCTATTAATGAAGTATCAAACTGATCAACCATGAAATAATAGAGCAATTAATAACACAACAAAAAACTTTGGGATGTCTTGGGTACAAAAGGAGAGCCTCTACACGTAATTAACTCTTACTGTTTTTCACAATTTCCTGTCAATACTGTATTGTATGTAAGAATGCAATAAGAAAGAGTGGAATTAATTTTCTGATTTGTTACAGATGGTAAATTTATGTGTAGTTTAACTTCTTTTATAAGTGTGGGGACTTTTCCTGCATTCCTTGAAACAACAGTTCATACTTTGTTGTCTTTTAACACATAAAACATAAATTTAAAAATTAACCAAGAACAAAGAACTAAACAACAACACCACCAACAACAACAAACCCCAGGGGGGGAAACAAAGTAATATTGTTTTAAAAGTAAATTACTTTAATTTTTTTTAAACTTGTATGCAGAAGAGCTGTTCATTCATAACTGGGAGACAAGAGTCCTATGTCTATTTCCAATGTTTTTTTATGATGGGATATTATCTATATGTGACTTCTGGTTTTTTAGCTGATACTCTGCATTTCTGAGAGGACACAATTTGTGCTTGGAAAAAGACTGTGACATATTTAAGTGGTAATTTTCCATATCCTATGATAAAATAAATGATATCTTGTCCAAGCTTGTCAGTGCTGCTTTTTGCATCTTGTAGCCCTTGCTGTTGCCTGAATTTCTATAGGAGTGCTTTCTGTGGTGCTGGTCTACCACACCTTTACAATAAATCTGTTTGCAAAGATTGATGCTGAAGCAGTCATCTGTATTTTGATGAGCTCTAAGTTGACCAGATCAGGAGATGGAGCATATCTATACATTATTCCTAACCTTTTTGCCTTTCTACTCATGATTATTAAAGGGTTTATTAATTAATTTAATAGGGGTCAATCTTTACTTGCCATCTTTTCCTGTCCTGTTACATTTAAAGATGTTCTGGTGCCATGTTTGTCTTATTGTTAAGCATGGAGATATGGCACAATAGTCAGTGAGATTTATTAATTAGATTTGCATAACTATAGAAGCGTAGAGTAGTATTAATAAATTAATGGGGCATTTTAATTTCATATTTATTCATCTTTTGCCTTCATAAACATGCAGAGACCTGGTCAAAACTTGTTAGCTAAGATATGTAGATCAGCTTATTCTTATTTGAATAACAGAACTGTGGTGGCTAATAATAGAGAAAGTGAACTCATCTTTGAATGTCATGGTAATTTCTTTCATGTCACTCCTTTTTGGGTTCCTCCACACTCAGGATATTCTGTGAACTTTTATTTTCTACTTTTCCTTCCACACTCACTATAAAAAAATAATCCAAAAAACCCTGAACAAAATCAAACCAAAACAATTTTCTTTAACTATTAAGACAATATAGTGGGATTTTTTCTCTTTCTAAGTCAGCCTTCCCATAGGATACAACAAAGTGTATTTTTTCAGATGATGTGTTGCTGCAGAAAAGGTGATTGTCAGCAGTAAGCAAACTATTAAATCCAACAAAAGGCTGACACAGCTTTTCTTCTGTTTTGACTTAATCTTTCACTCTCTTTGTATTTACTGATTTTGTTTTTATGATCACATATTTTTTATTTGTTACACAGTTTGTGTGGTGTTGATGACTAGCAGAATGCCAGCAGACCAGGGATCAAAATAATGCTTTACAATTATTCAGTAGGTTGTAGCACCAGAGATGACTTGCCATATTTCAACATGCATAAAATAATAATCAGAATGATGTACTCTTATAAGTCACCTCCTTATTTTCTGTGAGAGAGGGAAAAATACAAGATTTTGATTCCTGTAGAACTAGAATGGTAAAAATTTTGAAGATTTTTTCTGTTGGATCTGAAGATATGTCTGCCCATGTAACAGAGCATTCAAGATGCATCCACCACACCCACCTCTGGTTCACAACTGTCTGTTGCCCAGGGATTATTTATCTGCTATCACAATTTACATCTCTGAGGGCTGTGTTGATTCTTAACTCTCTGCACTGAATATTTCCTGCTGGGATTCTAGATGGCTCCCTCTATAAATTGCAACAACAGTAACTCCTGCTGACCTTTTTTTTTCTTACATTTTGGAGGTGCTGGAAAGCTGCTTTACCCTGATGAGTCTCCTGCCCCTTCCCCTGTAGAAAAGTTCCTTTTCAGTCATTCCTCGAGCTATGTCCCACGTAAGGGTTAATCTCGTTCCTCTGGCTTTAGGAACACAACAGGATAGCTCAGGTAACTTCTGTCTTCCGACTTGTCCCCATCATTTTCTGCTCCTCCCAGGAAGGGCTAGGCACGGGTTGGATCATCTGAAGGTGGCTGTGGCTCTCTTCTGCCCCTCTGCCAGCCCAGCAGATCGTCAGTGAGCAGCGTGTGGGAGCTGCCTGGCAGGCTCTGCTCCATTCACAGGGTGCGGGAAAAATGTGTAGAGCAAAAGCCAACGGGCAGTAAAATAGAAATATTTTGAGCAATACTAAACAACTCCTTGTTTTCTTTGTATGAAAAATTTATATCACTTGCCACTTAACAGAATGTCTTAAAATTCTGTCAGTTTAGAAAAGAAACACTTGATGGTCACATAATTTCTCTTCAAAGTTCCATTGTAACACGTAGTTATTAGCAATTTTGTTTACTACAATAAATAAGCCTTCATAATATATAATTTTAGTTTAGAGGCAACTTTTTCCAGATTTTTTAAACTTAGTAAATAGTTTTTTCAAAGTGAAATTAGGAAACTGATAATGCTCTAACAACACAATACATATTTTGGAATAATTATTTCACAAAGAATAACTGTTTCAGATTATGTGTAATCTGTGCTGCTCTGATCCCATGATAGAATTTGTTTCTTAATTCAGTTATTTTCCTCTTTATTTAATTTTTTTGATTAACTTAATTTTAGTTTTCATCATTTCAAGACTTTATAATGCAAAAACTTCATCAGTGAAATGCGTGTGAATAATTCTAACTTGTAGATTTCTCCATGACTTTTAAAATCAATGTCAATGGTAAACTTCTAGGTACTTGCATAATATAGAATTAATATGTATGCATTTTATTTTATAATTTTAAATTTTTGTTTTGCCTACAGACAGCCTTTTGATTGATTATCAATTTACCTTCAGTTTATTACAAGAGGACGATCGTCATCACACTGCCATAAACTTTATAGCAAATCCAGAACAGGTAAGAAAATGTTAATAATTTTAGTTAAGTTTTAGAGACTCAGAATTAAGATTTCCATTGTATTTGATGTTGATTAAAGGTTTTCAAAGTGTCTATAATATTTTAGAGATAGTTCACATTTTTTTGAGAGCTGCAAAATTAGTCCAGTGCCTTCATTGAGAACTCTTTCAAAATGGCAGATGTACTTCAGCTTAATTGATACTCTGAACAATTATCAGTTGGTTTATTTTATTGCTGCTGCCATGAATAACAAGTTTAATATCTTCCTGAGATGAATTGAAGGGGTATATTCTTCTGCTGAGAAAACATTTTTAGTTGCAGAAAGTAATTTTTGGCTTGTGATTAGAATGTAGGCATTTGCCATATATTTTCCTGTTTGATTTTATAAAGACAAATATTTTGTTATACTTGGGACAAACTACAAACATAACTGGTATAGTTATATGTTATATTGTACCCTGTTCTTACCAAAGCAAAAGAGAGAATTGCCTTTGGCAGTGAATCATTGCCATTTCTAGTTATGTTTAAAATGAAAACTGGAAGATAAATAAAAGGCTGGATTCAGTTATGTGTAGTAGAATTACGTGCAATACATTCTGATATGTTTTGTTCACTTTCCTTTTTTTTTTTTTTCCCTAGTCAAATAAAAATTTGGATATATCAATTAATGCATCAAACAACTTTAACCTCAATATTACGTGGTCTATTGGTTCTACAGGTGAGAGTGAATTTTGGTCAGATGAGTTTTTCCCCAAATGATTTCATGATCCTTTGAGTTATTTTAACCTGATTGTCTCTTTGTTGCTAATTTTGATAATAAAACTTTGCCAAATGTGTTCTTTTGCCATTATCATTATGCTGTTATTAATTATATTATTTAAACCTCAGATGATAATTTGCAATCTGAATAAAGCTTCATTAATATGTTGACTTTCTCTCCTATTCAATTAAAATTACATTGGTAGGAAAAGCTTGTAGTGTATTTAAATTTTTAAAATGACAGTGTTATGAAATGCTGTGATTTTAATTAAGATAAATTGCTTCCTTAACTACTGCAGAGACTGAGATTTTATTTCTTTGTTTCAGTGTTCAAGCTAAAAATTTAATTATTAACCTTTACATTGATATCAAACAATAAAGTTCTTCTGTGTATGCTGATAAAAAGAGCTGCTTATCTATTTTTTTCTCCAGCTTTGAACCCCATTACTCCTCTTTGTTTTAATTTAGACAGTTTTTCTGAATTGGTTCTATTGACTTTCTGAAAGCACATCCAAGGAGAGGCATGATGCTTAAAATGATATAATTTAAAAAATATCTTTTAAAAGAAGGTTCAGTTTCTCTTAAACTCATGAATTTCTTCATCAGTGCATTTCTGAAGTCTTTACCATACCAGTTAGTAAACTCTGTTTATTCCTTTATTTTAACTTAGCTCAGTCACTCGTTTATTTGCAAAAACTAATAAATGTTTATTACTAGTTACGTTATTAACGCTTTCATGAACAATTAAAACTTGACAGCAAAAGTGCAAGATGGAGACAAATTCCCTTACAGATTTTATTGAGCTGTTTATTGAAATGAAACATAAATTATGGAGGAAAGCATATTATCTGTTAAGCTGACCATAATAACTATCTTGTAAAATTCATGCTACTTCTGTCACTTTTCCAATTTGCATATAGTTTTTAAAACCAAAGTCAAAATTTCTGTGAATTCTCTATATGTATAATAAATATACCTAATGTGCCATGTAAACTTTAATAAGAGGTTGTTTTAGAGGAAGACACCAAAAGCAATTAAGGATTTATATTTCTTATGCAAATTTACTTTGGCATCTTTAATAATGATTAATATTTTTCTCAAATATGTATATTTACACCTGAGCTTTTCAAAATTTTTAGCTGGAACAATATCTGGAGAAGAGATTCCTGTTGTTTCCAAGGTTAATATTAAGGAATACAGAGACAGCTTTTCCTGTGAAAAATTTAACTTTCGAAGCAACCCAAACATCACTTTCTATGTGTATGTCAGCAATTTCTCCTGGCCAATCAAAATACAGGTTAGTGACTTCTTTGTCCTTTTAGAGACATTTTTATTTCAACTTTACATTGAATTTCATTATTTCACTCATGCACTAAGTATACAAATAGAGTTATTTGCATGTTGTATTTTCTGTCTATAATAATTATGTTATGATGGCAGTCCTACTATGATTTTAAGGCTAGGCTGGATGAAGCTTTAAGCACCATGGCCTGGTGGGAGGTGGTGCTGCCCATGGCAGGGGAGTTGAAATGGGGTGGTATTTAAAGTTCCTTCTAGCCCAAACCACTCCAGGATTCTGTGCTTTAGCTTTTAGCAGTGAGTCAGGCTGTCGATTTTAAAATCTGAATTTAAATTGTTGAACATACGTGTTTAATTGTAATATAACTTCAGCATTTAGATGTAAACACAGAAAATGGTATACAAATCTGTATGTACCTGGGTATTTGAATGTTAATAATTGGCTTTTGGAGCTTCTGGCTTTTTAAATGTTGAGTGACTGTATCAGATTGCAATATCACAGACTTCAGTTAAGACTAAGTATAGTTTATTAGAATTTATGTTCTTCTTTGACTTCATTGCAATCAATTTCATTCAGTATTTTCTGGAGCACTGAGATACTCTACAGTAGCAAACTGAAAAAAAATCAATGCAATCATGATTCCTCCCTGGCCTGTGATGTTCCAGCAATATTTATACTAATAATTACTATGGCTGCACTTGTGAACACAGCATCCCCTGCATCAGTGAAGGAGATTCTTATGTGGATGAATGGCTTTTGACTGCACCCTTACAGAATTAAGCCTTAAAAATTAAGTTGTTAAAATGATAATTTCATAATTCCTGATGATTTACTTCAGGAACAATTACAAGCTCAAAATACTTTGCAATTAACCATACAAATACCCCACAAAATTTCCATTTTAGTGGGAAAAAACCTTCCATATTTTTCTGAAATACAGAATCTTACTTTATAATCTATGTATAAAAATACACACACACACACACAGACACATATATGTATAAAATAAAAAAATAAATTCAAAAATGTATTCTGTCTGTCTAGATATGTATGATAAAGCGTTCTGGATTAAAGCAGTCATCTTCTGTTTTTCTTGTGTTAAGTAAAGCTACAGTTGTCTGCATCATACCTGAACAGTGACTACAAATATGTGTTAACGTTATCAAAGGATGAATTTATTCAGCTTACTAACATTTATGACTCTACTAATCTATTAAAAAATCCAAACAAACCCTGAAGACTAACTGCTTTCTTTTAGTCTTCATATTAGGGGTGTTTCACACTCTCTCCCACTTCCTAAAGATAGAACAAGCTCAGCTGCCAAGCAGGCTCCTTAAACAAATCCATGGAGCAATATCAGCTGTAAATGCATTACAGCCTCCTCTCACCTTTACGACTGCGAGGTGGCTGTATCATCATTGTAAGACAAACATTATTAAGGTGATGCATTCCTGAGACGTGCAGCTCTGTGGCAGATGTTGGCAGATCCCAGCTCCTCCTTGTGCTGTTTCCACTGCAGCGTAACAACCTGCTGAAGGGAATCCCAGATCATTGGATACATCTCTTTTTTTTTTTAAATGAAAATTTTCATTGTCTGCTGTGATTACACAGTTTTTGATTTTGGGGTTTTTTTTGTACTTCTTTTAGAGGCACATTGAAATTCAACAGTCTAGACAGTTCTGCCTCTGATGTGTGGTGCTTGATTATTGCATTCCTGTCCTGTCCTTACTCCATCTAGAAATTAAGTTACTCAATTTTATGCATCAAGAAGGAATACTGAGGTCCAGTTGGGGCAATTGTTTTGGGATTTTAATTTTGTCCTCTGTATTTGCCTTCCTAAATGAATGAGATTATTATTTATCTCTCAGCCTTTTTTTATGCTGTAATTTGTTCTTTTCTGAGAAAATATTTGAAGTCAACGTTACCAGTATATATTTCTTGTGTTTGGTGCTCTAGCAGTAGATAAAATCTTCAAATGATAAATGGAGCAGGGAGCTTTCCAGAGAAAACAAGTTTTGTTTTATATGCTAACTTTATAATTCTGCATGTAGTAGAAATTTTAAAAGTATGTGAAACCTCCTATGACTTTGGGTTAAGAGAAGGAAGTCATGGTTCATTCCAATCCAGGGGCTAAATTTCCAAGGCCAATACTAAATCAGGTCTAATAGTTATTGTCTTCTACATCTTCATCTCGTAGCATACCAGATTTAACCTTTATAACAGGCAAAAGTGGTTGATATTTTCTATTTGCACTGTAGTCCTTTTCACTGCAGTGGCCACACTGCATTGGTCATACCATGCTGGGAAAAACCTGATATTTTGTGTTAACTCAGTACTGAAGGCTTTATTTAATCCTGTTAGACCTAACAAAACTATTGTGACTTCCTTGAGAGGTATTCTGTTCATTTAATAAGTAAGGTAGCAACATGAAATTTGACACATGCCTTTTACACAATGCTTTCGTAGAGGACTGAGTACTCCAGCACACTGAGCATTTTTCAAGTACAGTCTGAGTACCAGCCCTCCTGTATTTCCATTATTCATCACAACTTGTCAAGAATACATTATATAAAACATGATTTCCTAAGGAGGCAGAGGTAGTGACCTTACTTCCTTTTAAACTGGTGTTTGAAGTTGTGTTATTGATGTTATTACCACTGGTGTTATTGGTATGCATTTCACCTCTCTGCTCTTGTGCCTCCTGTTATGCTGGCACTGGAGCTAAGATTTCTGGGCTCTTTCATTGGGAGGATTTGGGTGTTGGAGTTACTGCTCTTTTCTTTTGCTATTGGAAAAGAGCTCTCATTATACAAGACATTTAGGTTCACTTTCTATTAAAGCCACATATATTATCTCGGGTTTTGCATTAATTTATCTCCAAGATTTTCGTGACTATAAGGAAAATCTGCCCATCCCAGCAGGTGATTGTTTATTGGGATCAATGGCTCACAGCTGCTTCCTAGGTAGTTTTATTTTTCCTGTTACCTATTTAGCAAGCTGGGATATTTTTTCCAAAATGTTAATAAATCCCTGGTGGCTCTTAAACAAAATATCTTCTTAAGAAATATGATTTCTTGGCTTTGAAAAAAGGGTATATCATGATTGGTGTCAATAAAAACAGTTCTTTAAGGTGTACTGGTCTGTCATAGGCAGTGACCCATTTCATTGTTCCACTGGTGATCTCAATCACCTCAGAATACAAATGCTTCAGCACTGGATAGCAATGAATTACTTGGAAAACATAGAAACTGTGTAGAAAATTCTAAGTTTCTTTCAGCTGTACTGCTGCTCTCTATTGAAATGTTCTGCAGGTTCCCATCACTCTCCTGTCCATGGGCACACAGCTGGGTGATCTCTGCAGCCCTAAGGGGAAAACGCTGCATTTAAGTTTCCTGATGCTAAAGGCACTTTATTTAGCTGTAAAATCTCTTCCTTGAGGAAAGAAGCAGAAAAATGACATAGTTGCATAAGGGGTCATTAGAAAGGTGGTGTTGTGGGACATCTTCAGCTTAGAGCTGTTCCCACAAATAGATCTACTATCTATTGACCTGGCTGTGAAACAGACAGGTGCCAGTTTTTCCTCAGAAGTGTGTAATAGTTATACACTGGCACACAAATGTTGGATATTTCCCTGTTGAAGTACTCTAACAGCTTATGCCACACTTTTTCTCCATTTCCTTTAATTCAGAGTTGCTGGTGAGTAAGAATAGATAAAGACTCTTAAATTTAACTTGTGAGGCTTTCATAAACAACAGTAGTTTCTGCATATTTTGGAGGAAATCTGTAGAAATTATCTTTGTTAACAGATATTAAAAGAAGTGTCCAAGTGAGGATAAGAATCCTCACTTATGCTTGACTGTCGTTTATAGTCCCAAACCTTTAGGTGTATTGTGTCTTATATATCAGTTAAATAGCGCTCCATGAGAAAATGCTCTTGCCTTAAAATAAGCTAGATTTCTGAGCAGAATATATGACAAAGCCCCATAACTTGTTTCTGCTCATTTTTATTTTATTTTGAGAGTCAGTGTAATTCAGACTCCACTGGTAATGGAATTTGAAGGCTGTAACATTTATTGAAAAGCAGTAACTCAGACTGTAGCCAGCACCTCAAATAGTGGTCAATGGTCCCTGAAGTAGTAAGCATTCATAAAGCTTGGGCTTCTGACAGCTATGCAAATATTAATAACAGCAGTCACAACATGTTCTTCAGTTTCAGGAAACTAATTTTATGGCAAGGGATTTTTGTAATTTAAGCTGATGTATTTTCTTTTTTTCCATCATTTTCTCCCATATTCTGGAAAGCAGTGCCTGCATATGAAAAAGCAAATACCCTTAAAATGCTGTCCTGGCTTTTGTTCTGATTGTTGTCCCTAAGGACAGCAGTGACCTTCCTGCTTTAGGATCAGCTGCATTCCTGCACCTATATCTCTTTATAACTGTCAGACTTGTAAGTCTGATCTCAACTTGTGCCTGAGCAGCAAAATTTTCTACCAATTTTAAAGCTGAATCTGGAGATAATAATAACTGTTCTACTAGTTATTTCCTTTCTTCCCTAAAGTGTAAATGAAAGATTCACAAGTGTCTGAGTTTTAATTGGGAGGGTCAGTTTAAATTGCAAGGTTCAGCCTCACCAGCAAAGCACTGTCTTTGCTGGTGAGGTTTGTGTTTAATGAAAAAAAAAAAATCATCTTGTTATACATTTTTGAACATACCCTAGTTAAACTAACATGCTTCCACAGCATAAAACAATTACTGTTGCAGTGAAGTTAGTCAGGATGTTGGTGTACATGTAGAATACCCCGATGTGTTTGAAGAAGTTTAATATTTTTAAGCAAGCCTACTTGGAATTCCAGTTTTTTCTGCACTGTGGTTTCTGATGAAAACTCTTTGGCACCCTGTATTCTGTACCAGAACAGAATAATGAATTATGGTAAAGATTTACATTTTATTTGTATGTAGCACAACAGATAATTAAAACTACTTAATATATAAATCTT